TATATATATATATGTCTTTTGCGAATCTCTCAAAGAAAGAAAGAAAGGAAACAAATGGCATTCCTTAACTTTCATCTTTTCTGCTATCGAAATATTCCGTGCAATACGATTAACAAGATCCTTCCAATTCCTCTAAAATCTTCATGAGATCTGGTAATCGAGGTTGTTTGACATATATTAATATTAATGAAAATAAGCACGATTGTTTAGCAATAGTTTATATTAACGAGTTAACTATCGTTGACTTGTAGCAATAATTTAAGACAAGCTAGTCATAAATTCTTTTGGATTTTTGCGGGTGAAAGTATAATATATACGGATAAATATTTTTTTATATTATCATATAAACTGCACTAATATTCAATATGTATGAAGTCTATATAGAAGAAAAACAAGCTAATATATTTGGCTAATGTAACAAATATTTATAAATTTCAAGATACGACAATAAGTGATGTTATGGCGTATTAAAATGTCCAGAATCCTCGGGATCCTGGCCAAAAGATTACAAGTCATCTACGGCGATTTTCCATGACCTTACATTCTCCATCTTGCTCTTCACAGCAAAGAATCAAAAAGCTTGCGGCCAGATAGATTTTCAAGGGTTCTCGAGCTAATAACATTTGAAAAAAAATTTTCAGCCTTAGTTTCAATATATGCTGACGTCTAGCTCGACTGTCATAGCAAAAAGTGAGCATGTGAAAGTTTTGTCTTCTTTTTATCTTCTCTCCATATTCTCTTTATATTGTCTCTATCTTGTTTTTTTCATCCCGAATTTACATGTATAGGTATATATATATATTAATATTTTAATTATTTAATTATATTGGGCTAGTATTTAGCTGTAGGCTCGTTTTTCGTTTCCCCCACACAATCCTCGTAAAATCCCGCTCGTTGACATGTCTAACTTCAGCTAGAAATTGCTCCACGACGACTTCCTCAGCCTCACGACATGTCCCGCCCTTTCTATTTTTCCGGTTGTCTTCGTTGTCCCTTCTGCCAGACGGTATATCCTCTCTTTATTCCCATTTCCATTCTCATCCTCTTGTTTTGATCCAATAGTCAGTCGCCGGTCTGATCGATGATACGCCAACAGGCAGTACTGCGCATGGCCGACTAAATACAAACGCTCCTTATTATACCGGGTGTGCCAATAAAGGAAGTACAGAATAAGAGGAGAGAAAGAGTGGGAAGGAGAGTGGAGGAGAGAGCAAGAAAGAAAAACGGTAGAGAGGATGCCGGGGGAGTGTTCTGTCGGAGTTACTCGCTCCTTCGAGCCAAGGCGATCATAAAGGATCCTTTTCCACCGTCTTGCTGCTACCGCTGCTTCAGCAATGCAGCTTCGTTGCACCCCTTCCTTATACTCTGCCACTACCCTAACTCAGCAGCGTCTTGTGATATACTAGGAGATGCCAAAGGATAATCCAGATACCCGATTTCCAATCCCGATGCTACGAAACGACACCTCCATACAGCATCCATCGATCCTCCTTTATGGACTTCGTCTCGGCTTTTCAATGCGACTTTTCTCCTCGGTTCTAGACAGGTTTTCATGCACGTTTATTGCTACGTTTCTTATATTGTAGATACTTTCGATGTATTGAATGTCTATCGCTACGGAAGTTCATCCGCATTGCATAGTTTGCAGTGAGAAACGCTAATGTTTAACGAATTTTAAATTTAAATTATTCTGTTTGTGAAGTTTCTGATGAAAGACGTAAAAATAAAATTAAGAAATATCGCGATAGTGTATCTACGCGAGTGTTGGTTAATTTGTATTACTATAATATTATAATAATATATTGTTATAATCAAGAATTTGCAGAATTAGTGAAGTATTACTACAAACTAAATAATATAAAAATAATTATATCAATTTAATTATTTTATATAAAAATTTCTCTATGTTTAAATGGAAGAAAAAGCTCGTTCCTGAGATATGCGACTTCAAAATTTTATAAAAACAGCATTTTTAGAAATAGAGGTTTAGTTCCAATGACCTCGTGTCTTTTTGTATATATAATATATAAAATTTATATATTATTTTTATATTTTATATATATAGTATACAAAAGTAATTTTTTAAACAAGATGCATTTACCTAATTGACATTTTTGTTCGCAATATGTCTTCTGGTTATTGAATTTCCTTTTTAGTATATATCGCAAGCCACAATCGTGCTTTTGTTTCTCTCCCACGTCCTCGATTTTCACTCTGTAGACCCGGTTTCGATAGCGTTTCATCGGCGGCATGGGCGTGGCGAAACTTCGGTCCATGCTTCTAACTTAATTCGGTTAGGCGAGATTTATATCTGCTACCGGCAGCGCATTCCCTTGTTCAAAGTCGTCGTGTCCCTTTCCTCTCTGCCCGACCTCTCTTCCAATTCCCTACCGATTCACTATGTTTTCCTCCGACCACGAGCGGGGATTATTAGAATTTATAAGCGGTCCCGTTGACAGCAGCGCAACGCCCAAACTGCCGGATATTCCGCGATTCGCATCCCCGATTTTCGCTGGGCGCCCTTAT